TAGAAACTGGATAACACACTAAATTCAATGCAGATCAATCTTGCTGCCTACAGTCTTCGTCTTCAATCAACTTAATTTTTTTTCTTGTGTAGTCTCTTCCTCTAATAATAATACCAACTTTTCCTCACCAATTTGACACATTTTCTCTTTCCGCTTTCTTTCCGTTCCAGAGCTGTCCCAACTTCAGCAGCTTCATTAGCTGCATTTCTGTCACTGGAAAAAAAGGGCTATTCCTGGATCTTTCAGGGACTTTGTGGTGTCCCTGAGATCAGCAGGAGATGCCCTTCTCAATCACCCTCTCTGCGGGATGGTCTAGGTACAAATGGACCATCAAGCAGCAGAAATTCGACTGTGATCTCGGAGCACCAAGATTGCACGTCGTGCCGTCGTGACATCAGCCCTCCTTCCACAAATGGATCAAATTTTTGTCCAATGAATTTAATTTATATCTCTGATACTGGCCAGTTCTACCTCCAGAGAAAATATGAATACTTCACAAAACTTGGATGTCTGCTTTTTCCTTATGATTTAACATTTCCAGCTTCTTCCACTGTAAGATCATTTTTGACAAGAGAATAGGAAATATCCTTCTGTGATGCTTCCCAGCATGTAAACATCCCACAAAAATACCTAAAAGGATATGGGAATTTTTATTGCAGCATACACTGACACATTTATGTCAGTTCAAAATTTTTCATCAACTTTAGTGAGAATACAATGCATATATCATATACGGTAACAGAAGACATCATAAATAAAGATCCTGTATTAAAATTCCTGATTAAAGTTGCTAGATTGTCAGAACTTTAGAAAAGACTGCCTAATTGTCTATATAATGCATTTATCTTTAAATTAGAAATCCATATAATTTAGGCAGCAGTTCATAAATCTGTAACAAAGAATATAAATGATATACTATGTCCAGAATTATTTGTTGGGATGAATGGCTATAGAAATCAATTAATCAAACAGACAAATAAATAAAGTCAAACTTTGCTTTTCTATTTTTTTTCTATGATTTAAGTTAGCATTTTCAAAGTTTGTCTACTTTGAACTTTTTTATGGAAAGAAATTTGGAGATACTTTGGATTAACAACACACACACATACACACAAACAAATATTCGTAAATTTTCACGAGTGTAGATATGCTGGTCTTGCTGTAATCTTGGTGTGTGTGTGTGGAGTGCTGGCTTTGTTTCAGTAAGTAGAATGATTGGTTGTGTGGTTGTATCATGATTGGTAGATTGATATATGTATATATATGATATATAATGTTTTCGTAGATTTTCACGGGTGTAGGTATGCTGGTCTTGTTGTATTCGGGTCTTTTCCCGTGTAAGATTGAGATTGTCTGGGCAACGTTTTGGCAAGATATCACTCCCCATCTTCAGGCTGGTGTTTTCGGCTTAAAGCATGGTTGGAACTGCTGTCTTTCTATAAATCTTGGGGGTGGGGGTGGAGTTCTGGCTTTGTTTCAGTAAGTGGAATGATTGATTGTGTGGTTGTATCATGATTGATAGATTGATATACATGGAACATTTTGAAACTAATGCCTTAGATAAATCTGAACACAAACCCAAACTCTGGCGTAGATATGTTTATGACACTTTTGTGATTTGGTCACACGGGAAAGAAAAACTGGACAACTTCCTCACACATCTCAACAGCCTACACCCCAAAATACAAGTCACTATAGAAATAGAAGCAAACAACCAACTTCCTTTTCTGGACGTCCTAATCTAAAAAAAAAAACAATGGCTCCCTAGGACACACCATCTACTGGATAGAAACACACACCAACCACTACTTAAACACACAATCCCATCACCACCCTGAACAGATCAACTCTGTAGCCAAGACCCTCATCTCCAGAACCAAATGCTTAGCTGACAAAGACCACCTGAAAACTGAATTATACACTCTCACAAACATATTAATTTCCAATGGATTCCAAAGAAAAACAATTACCAACCTAATCCAAAGGGAGACTCCCCCAAGAACCGAGACACAGAACTGGACAATGCCATCACCCTCCTCCCTTACATCAAAGACTCCACAGATAAAATCAGCAAAATTCTGCACAAACACAATATCAAGACAGCCTTCAAGACTGACCAAAAAATAGCCAACATCTATATATATTCTTATCTAAACTAACTATAGAGTTAGAATATATTACATTATATATTATATATTAATATTCTAATACTTATATAAATACATTATAGTTTAAGACGATTTCCTTCTGAAGAATCTGGCTATTTCATGGTACTGAACCTGACTTTGTGGTAATTAAAACTTGGAGTCTTATTTCCTGTAATGTTTCATATAGATAAAAACATGAAATTACTGAACAAGGTTATTTAGAATTCCATCAGGTTTGCCCCCACTAGCCATTAAATATAAGTAAGATGCATATTTGTTTTCTTGATTTAAAATATTTTTTCATGTCTTTTAAATTGTCCTTTAGCATTATTTCTGTCTAAGCTGTGCTTGTCATTTGTTCTTAGAGATACACAGTTTTGTTTAAATGCTTCATTTTATTCTAATTTATTTTATTTATATTATATATTTGTAGTCTGTTATTTGGTTAAGAGGTTTTTCCCTAAGTCATCCACCTGCCATCTAATTAACTATAAATAGTTTCATTGTGGTTGTGTTACATGAATCTCCAGAGAAAGGGTCTAAATTCATATAGCATAGCCAGAAGATTGCATTAGAAATTTTGTTAGAACCCAGTATACATTTGATTTATATGAATCTAC